TTTTTTTTTGTTCCCTGTATTCATTGTTTTCTTTCTCTCTATTCACACCTCCGCCTATTCCCCATATCTACTCTCGTTTATAATCCCCTCCCTTCGGACCCGGCCCTTCGTTTTCGCCGGAGAATTTCAATTATTACAAATTCTCGGGCGGGTTCGGTTCTGTTGGCCCTGTAATTAATAATCGCCGAGCTCAACGGCAAATGGTACTCCATCCTTCAACTTGTTTTTCTGCCTCGACAAGAAATGGTGCCTCTTCTCCTTTTCCTTTTCCTTGCTCCCCTCCTCACCAGCAGGACGTATCGTTGCCACACTCGAATTGGACAGACTGTACAACCCCCCACCCCCCTGCTTCTGCCCCCCCGTCGTCGTCGTCGTCGTCGTCGTCGTCATCGACTCCAGACTCGTGGTGCTAAAGTTTCCTCTCTGCAACCCCGCAAACGGATGGGGCAGACCCCCCTTGCCTGGACTGGGCAGCGGCTTCTCCTTCACGTCGGAGCTGCTTTTGCTGCTGCCGATTTTGACGGGGCGGGAGAAGAGTTTGGGGACTTTGGATTTTTCCGGCTTGGGGGGTTTCTCGCTCGCTGGGGGAGGGGGAGGAGGCATGCTGGATTGTTGTAGACCCGGGGAGGTTTGCGCCGATCGGGGAAAGACGAGGTTGGCTGCTGCTGTTGCGGCGAGCGTGTGATTTCCTAGTAACCCGTTGTGATATGTCTGCCCCCCAAAGGCGTTTTCTCTCGGACCGCTCGCTTCGGTGAGGCTGAGGACTGGTGGTGGTGGTGGGGGGTTCATTGTTGTCGGTCCGCCGCTTACTCTTTTGGCTGGGGGGGGTGGTGGTTCTGTTTCTGATGAGTTTGGCATTGGTAGGGTGGATGATCGTTGGCGGTTGTTGTGGGGGGATTGGTTTCTTTGTTGTTGTTGTTGTTGTTGTTGTTGTTGCTGGTTTTGCTGGTGGCTCATCACTGCCGCTTGGGCGGCGATTTGGCTCGCTGACATTTCCCTGTGAGGAGGCGTCGGGCTTATTTTGGGAGAGGGCTGGTGATGCAAGCCGACGACGACTTGGGAGAGGTTCGAGGTGCTGGTTGAAGGTAGAGTAGGCTCAAACATGCCCGCATTCTGCGAGTTCTTGCGCGCGTGGGAGACGACCCTTGACGAGAAGGTGGATGATGCTGCTGGGGATGTTGCCGACGACGAGGGCGGGAGTGTCAAGGGTGAGGGCCCGTTTCGTGATATTGTCTCTGCGGTGGCGGGAGAGTAGGACCGGGCGGCGGCGGCGGCGGCGGCGGCGGTGGATAGGGTAGGTCGTGAGAAGTTTTGTAGGCTGGTGGTGCTGCTGTTGTTGGTGAAGCTGGTGTAGATGGGCGTGGGCGACGGCGCGGCGGCGGCGCGGGCCTTGGGTATGTTCAGGTCGTCGGCTGTGGACGTCGACGTCGCCGACTCTTGCCGTCGTGATGGTGGTGGTGGTCTCGGTCGTGGCAGGTCGGGACTGGACCCCCCAGGAAGGGGTGAGAAGCTCCCTGGGCTCCCTGTGGATCTGGATGGCTGCATGGGGTAAGGTTTAAGGTAAGATGATGCCTTTGGCAGTAGTCGGTTTCGAGCTGTGTTTTGTGCTGGGGATCATGGGCCAGGATGTGTTACATCTTGGCTGCCCCGAGTGAGTGAGTGAGTGAGTGAGTGAGTGAGTAAAGAATCGGCGAATCGAAGAATAGGTATCTTCTTGAATCGGAGAATAGGTATCTTTTTTTCGATTGGAGAACTCTGCCCTGTAAACAGGTCGTAGCAACAAGCCTTTCACAAGCGTCTGCGTTCCAGGACCCCTGCTGCAGATGACGGAAGTGATCCGAAGAGCGGGTATTCAGCTGAGCTGGGGACCGCCACAGAGAACCCTAACCCCCAAGCCTCACTTTCAGTCAAACTATCTTCACCAACCACCAGACAACAGTTTTGATGTCAATTTCATGTACGAAGCAGCAGCATATTTTTCTCTATACTG